ATATCATTTCCTTTTTCTGCTGCCAATCAAAATTACTTGTCATAAAAAAGAATAGGGGGACCAATTTGCCAAAGAAAAGTAGAAGAAATTAGCTTTGACCCCTCTTTAGTGACCTAATATGCTTAATGATACTTTCCCACAAAAAAAGTTTCAAATTACCACTTTCCCACCCAAAGTTAATATTTCGCTACTCTAAAAAAATTCTCTCCATCACCACCATTCAAACCTCCGGTCTCCTCTCCACAAAACCCCTCTTACTTTGACGCCTGAGTTCTTGCCGATTTTTTACCATCGCAAAGCTAGGGTTTTCCCTTCTTAGATGATTTCCTACTGATTCCAGCAACGAATATTCAATTGGTCACCACCATTTGATTCACTGGCCTCCACTCTACAAAAACATTCTTACCTTTGGCCTTGGTAACTCATCGAATGCCGGTTGAGAAAGTGAAGTGTATTTTGGGTATTAACGAAATATAAACGTTGAGTGGGTAAAAGGTATTTTGAAACTTTTTGGGTGGGAAATTGTCACTAAGGCAAACCTTGGGTGGGGAAAAGTTGTTTACTCTTTTAAATTACACCAAACCATTGGTCATGTATAATTGGATACAAGTTGATGAAGTTTTTTAATTTTTATAATCAGGGTGTCTAGACCAACTTGCGCGCAACTTAGATAATCTTTAGGGCCTATTGAACACCCTACAAGTCCAATTGTTCTAGGTAAGCCACAAATGTGGTAGGTGGCCCTAAGGTGGTTTGAACTCAGAAAATCAATAAAAAGGAGCAAATCTTCTTGACCACCAGACTAATCCCTTGGGTGGGTAATTCAATATTAAAAAATAGCTTGTGAACTGAGCCTTTTTTCCATCTAATCGGTACATAGATTTGGTAAATAGTATGCTTGAGCATCCTAAAAACCGTGAAAACGAGCAGTAAAGCCACACAGTTCCAATACATATTTTTACTCAATTTTTTTCAGCCCATATTGTTTATAGATTATGGGTGAATTGAGGATTCATTTTGAATCTTTTTTTTTTTTTTTTTTTTGTCATCTAGTCAATACTGAGGTTTGGTAAACAGCACACTCGAGCGTCCTATAAACTGTATTTAAAACAAGCAGAAAAGCTGCACAGTCCTAGTACCTTTTTTCACTTAGGTTTTCCTAGCTTGTAGTGGATCTCTATTATGGGTGAATCGATAAGTCGTTTTGAATCTTTTTTTGCCTTCTAATCGATATTTAGGTTCGGTAAACAGCATGCTTGAGGATCCCGAAAACTATGTTTAAAACAAGAAGTAAACCCATATAGTTCTAGTATCTATTTTTACTCAGTTTTTTTCAGCCTATATTGTTTATCGATTATCGGTGTCTTTTTGAATATTTTTTTCCATCTAATCAATACTGAGGTTTGGTAAACAGCATGCTCGAGCGTCCAGAAAATTGTGTCTAAAATGAGTAGAAAAGCTGTATAGTCCCAATACCTTTTTTCACTTAGTTTTTTTCCTAGCTTGTAGTGGATCTCAATTATGGATGAATCGATGAGTCTTTTTGAATCTTTTTCTTCGCTGTCTAATCAATACTGAGGTTTGGTAACTAGCATGCTCAAGTGTCCCGAAACTGTGTTTAAAATGAGCAGAAAAGCTGCATAGTCCCAGTACCTTTTTTCACTTAGTTTTTTCCTAGCATGTAGTGGATCTCGATTATGGGTGAATCAAGGAGTCATTTTGAATTTTTTTTTTTTTTTTTTTTTTTTTTTTTTTTTTTTTGCCATCTAATCAATATTGAGGTTTGGTAAACAACATCTCAAGTGTCCTGAAAACTATGTTTAAAACGAGTGGGAAAAGTTCAAGCAACAATCTTCAACCCGCATAGCTGTAAAGCCGAGCATGATGTTTACCAAACCTCAAGTTTTAATATATTATATCGAGTTTTTTTATCACCCTATTTAAAAAATGAAGACCTTTCAAATGGGATACTCTATTTTAAAGAAGGATATTTATGGGTCGCCTATTGTTTATTTTCAGTATATTCAAATTGTGTCCTCAAGTGTGATTCTGAGTATCAGTAGAGTGGACACTATATGTCGCCACGTACACATAACAAGTGTACTTCTCTACTTTGCCTATGACTCGTTTATCAACCTTCACTTTGGCGAACAAGCAAAATAGTCATTTTAAGTCGACCCATCACCATTAAGGAAAACTCGAATGAATTTTAACCTCCCACTGGTAGAAGTGTGCCTTTTGCTTTAGAAAACAAGGTTCCGATGAACAGTAGTTTGATTAAAACCATGGTGATGGAAGGCATATGTGACTGCTTGGGTTGAGTCGACTCGGCTTGGGGTAAGGTTGCAATTGGAGCCGAGTAGAGGTGGGTTTGATTTGTTAGGGTATCATATGATCTGAGGCAGTGAACAATTGCCTTGGGTGAACAGGGAACCAAGAAGAAGAGGCGTGAGGTTGACCTAAATTCCAATCTAACAAATAGAATTGCTTACCTTGTCTTGGAGGGCTTGATTCTTGACACAGATGGTGGCATTTTGAGGTTCCAGAGCTTGGTACTTGTCATTGCTCTCTAGCACCAATGTGGTGAGGCCCACACTCTAACCCACAACGTCAGGAGTAGGGGTTTCAATGTTTTCGATCATGATGGATGAATCGGGAGAGAAGAGTAGAAATACTAGGTCGTTTAAGTCAAATAGTTGTTAGGGCCCCATGGTGGATGCCAAATTATAGACAGTAAAATCTACGATCAATTTGGAAGGGATAGATCCTCTGAAAGTAAAGCCACTAACAACCTAATAGACCTACACAAAAAAGAAAAGAGAATGTGAAGGCTAGATAAACATCGGTGTAGTGTCCTCCGTAGATACTCCGACGCTCTAGTCAGCGAGGGTAAGGGTATTTAGTGAGGGTTAAGGATGGGAAAGATTATTGGAATAATGAAGTGGTTCTTGGGAGCAAGAACTTTAAAGCTATGTGCTAAAGGCGATTTTTGAATGAATATTGAAAGGGTTTGTGCCTGTTTATATAGTGAACCCAAGGGGTTGGAGTCCTACTTACTAAAGGATGAAGAATATATGATCTCTTGCCTTTATTAGATTAAGCTTAACACCTAGAGTAATATTCGAGATCTTGACAGAAGTGGAAATATAATAGGATTCTGATTCCTATTCATGGATTGCTATGGGCTCATGGGTTGAACCTAGTTTAGGTTAACTTGTAGAGTAGCCTAACTCATAGAGTGGGCAGGTCATAAGTGGCTTACTAATACAGATTAAGCCACCTTGTGAACTGTGTTTAAACATACTATTTACTACATGTAGTGTTTCTACCGTCTAATTGATACATGTAGTGTTTCAAATGACTTTTATTGATTAAGCTATTTGAGGTTTTCAGTATTGAGTTCGTATTTATCAAATCAGTAATACATAGCATAATGATGTCTAATATTTGGGTAATTCAAAAAATAGTTTTCGTAGGTGGTTGTCCTCAATTCACCAACAACCTTAAATAGCTTTTGCATACAGTAGTTGACTTGATTCGTATAATTACAAAATTGTGCTTTGGATAGTATAGTGGTATTTTAAAAGTCAGTGAATAGGAAAGTGTTATTAGGCCATTATTTGGGTGGGAAAACGTCATTTACTCTATATTATATATTGAATACTTTTTCTTATAATGATCGATAAAGATCAATGGATTGAAGATCTACAAAGATATTAAAAAACCGATAAGGGTAATAAATCTATATAAGACAATGATTGATGTTCTCTCCCCTGTTTAACACACTCATCACATAATCTTATAATATTGTATAAAATTGAGATCTCAATTTTAAATCTCAATTAAAACCACTGGTGATTATAGAAAGGTAGCACATGTATTCCTTACATCATCTTATCAACAAATATATAAGCTAGAATTTTAATAGTGTGGCATTATCTTTTTCCTTCAAAGAAAGTAAATAACCTAATTTTCAATTTTATTTGTATCAAAACTAGTGTTTGTTTAAAAAAAAAAAAAAAAAATAGTGTTTGTATGAGCAGGATTTAAAAAGACTCCTAATCGATACTTAGATCATCAATACAATTTTCGGGGTGCTAAGTTCGAGCATGTTGTTTACCTCTTTTCATTTACCATTAATTAATGACCTAATATGCCAATTTGCTGCATGAGGAAAATACCATTTACTCTTCTCTTCTCTTTTCTTATGCAAATATTTGATGTTGAGGTAGTAATCCTAGGGTGGGTTTGTCAAATATAAGAGCTTCCTCTCAGTTTGATTTGAAGTGTCGAGTGCAAAATCGACGATGAAGTCAACTAGCACTTGAGACTTTATGGCGGTGCGAGGTTGGATAGAGATGTCAAATTCATTCAGCTCTATTGTCAATTGAATGAGCCCCAAAAGGTTAGGTTTGTAGAGGATTTTCTTGAGGGGTAAGAAGTGGAGACCACAATTAAGTGGCATTGGAAGTACGGTCTTAACTTCCTTGTGGCGGTGATAAGAGCGAGTGCAAGCTTCTCAAGTTGGTTGTACCGTGTCTCCACATCAAGCAGAGACTTGCTAGTGTAGTAGACAGGCAGCTACTTTCCTTCTTCTTGAATTAATATGGTTGAGATGGCCGATTCAAATACTGCTAAGTAGGTGAGTAGTCTTCCTCTGTTTTCGGTTTTGAGAGTAAATGAGGTAATGTTAAGTACCTTTTTAGTTGGGCCAATGCTTCTTTGCATTCTAGGGTCCATTCGAATTTTGTGGACTTTCTGAGGGATGCAGAAAAGAGATGACACTTCTTCGTTGACTTTGTTATAAACCGGTTCAGCATAGCCACCCTTCCAGTAAGACATTGGACATCTTTTATGCAAGTAGGTGAAGGAATGTTTAGGATTGCACAAATTTGGTCAAGTTTAGCCTCAATGTTGTGCTATGTGACCATATTGCTAAGGAACTTTCCAGAGGAGATGTCGAATGAACATTTGGCTAGATTTAACTTCATTTTGTACTTTCATAATACCTCAAACACTTGCCTTAGGTGGTCAAGGTGTTGGCTGGGGGCCAGCGACTTCACCACCATGTCATCAATGTATACTTCCATGGAATCTCTTAACAAGCTGGCAAACATCCTATTCACAAGACACTGGTAGGTGGCACCAAAGTTTTTCAAGCCGAACGACATCACCTTGTAGCAATAAATACCCCTCTCAGTGATGAAGGCAATTTTCTCTTGATCGTTTAAGTGCATGAGTATTTGATTGTAGCCTGAAAAGGTGTCCATGAAACTTAGTAACTCATGTCCAACAGTGGCGACAGCATGTCAATATGGAAAAGGAGTAGGAGTCTTTGGGGCAAGCCTTGTTTAGGTTGGTAAAATAGATGCATACTCTCCATTTCCCGTTCTTCTTTCGAACGACCACTACATTTGCCAACCAGTTGAGGTATTAAACCTCTCAAACTGAGCCATTGCTTAGCAACTTCTCTACTTCTTTGTTGATCACATTGTTTCTCTCTAGAGCGAACTTTCTTCTCTTTTGTTTCACCAGGGGTAGTTCAAGTCGGTGTTTAGTTCGTGCACTGTTGCTTTGAGGCTGATCTTTATCATATTGGAGTGAGACCAAGCAAAGCAGTCTTGGTTCTCCTTGAGGAAGTCTATGAGCTTTTCTCGGATGTTAAGTCTAAGTAGGGCACCCACTTGGGTCTTTTGATCTGGATAATCAAGGTGCATTTCGACTTCATCTAGCTCCTCTATAGCTGGTTGGTTCGGCTCGACCCCTCTAGCTGAGTGGTAATTTCGCAGGCCATCTAACTCTCCCATATTGAGATCTCAATTTTATACAATATTATAAGATTATGTGATGAGTGTTTTAAACAAGGAAGAGAACATCAATAATTGTCTTATATAGATTTATTACCCTCATCAATTTTTTAATATCTTTGTAGATCTTCAGTCCATTGATCTTTATTGATCATCATAAGAAAAAGTATTCAATATATAATGTATAGTAACGACTTTTTCTTACCCAAATAATGACCTAATAACATTTTCCCTTTCACTAACTTTTAAAATATCACTATACTATCCAAAGCACAATTCTGTAATTATACGAATCAAGTCGACTACTGTATGCAAAAGCTATTTGAGGTTATCGGTGAATTCAGCACAACCACTACGAAAACTATTTTTTGAATTACCCAAAGTCATTTTTCTCTCAGTTGAAGGTTTGCTTGTGGAAACAACATTTGCCATACTGGCATAACCCAAAGTACACTGCCGTAAGATTTTGTCACAATAGTCATTTCCTTGATGTTTGGGACAATGTTTTGGGATCTGTATTAGTAAATGATTAGTCTACATGGGCCATTTCAACAAGGGAAAAATCTCCATTTAGTATTGCAATCAGCAGATAGATGTTGATGCCTTTAGGAAGGGGCTCCTCCCCAACAGTGAGTTATATAAAGAGCTCACCAAGTTCAACTACTCCACCATGGAAGATGTATTAGCTCAAGCTCTTGTAGAAATAAGGTGGGAAGAGGATTAAGTGAACCACATCAAACACTCTGCCTATGAAGATCGTCGTTCTAAAAGGGCCGAACGATGCCAAGATAATTGTCTCGTCGAGCCGTACCACTAACCAAGGACAGTCACTAACTGAAACAACTGATGCCCAATGGATTGCCACCTGGCTTGCACAATGAAAGGACACAAGTCCTGCCCCACTGATATAAGGTGCCCGACTATAACTTGAACATCGAACCTACGGAAGTACTGGCTATATTAATATTAAAGGGTGCATTTGTTTTGTTATTTTGGATTGGATTTTGGGAATAATATTGGGTAGTTGAATAAGGTGAGTACTACAAGGTAAAATTTAAAAATTAACAAAAAAAAACCCCTAGGTTTGCTAATTTAACTAAACACTCCAATATATAAAAATTTTGTAAAATGATAAAAATACCCCCACCCCCCATAGTGCCAGATTTCGGACACCACCGTCTGAATCTGGCAAAAAAATGGTGTTATGATGTAGACCGATTGGATCTGGCCAGTCATGCGTCGATATGGCCTTTTCCGACCAGATTCACCACGGATCTAGCTGAAAAAGGATAGATCTACAATCAGATCTAGCTATCGACGACCGCAAAAGGCCAAATTTGGCCGTTGCAAAGATATGGACGTCGCTGACGGCTAAATCAGCTAATTATCGACCAGTTCTGATCGTTTTTATGCTATTGTGATAGATTCCGGTGGTCTGGCAACTATGGGTAGGTGGGGGTGTTTTTGTTCATTTTAAATTTTTTTTCTAGGGGTGTTTAATTAAATTAATAAATTTAAGGGGTTTAAAAGTAATTAAAAAAATAGAATAGTATTTCTCAAATAATAAAACAAACAAGTATTTTGGGAATATGATTGGGAATATGGATAGGAATAACAAAACAAACGCACCCAAATATATTAATATTGAGTTCATGTGTTCATCCATGTCCTTCTCCAGATTGAAACTCTGCAAAATCATCCTCCTAATTGTTTGATCTAATTTTGATACTTGCTTCGAAAATGAATGTATCGTTTTGTTGCAATTGATTGAAGTAGATAAATTAAGTAAGAGATCAAAATAATATGATAAATTAGTAACATGTTGAATATTTTTTTACCTGAAACTTTCGTTTCCTTTAGGCCACAAAATATTGGTCATGCTTTCGACTTTCTCGATGATGTTTGCGTCATCAATGCCTATGCTTTCATAGAGAGGAACTTGAGGGTATTGTCCAACGTAACGATGAAAGGGCCTTTTTGAAAGGTTCCAAAGTTTGGTTTGTAATGGTAGGTCAAAAAGCGCTTCTAGTGCCCCAAAAATGCTTTTCCAAAGCTCTACAGGAACTTTGTCAAACAAAGGCTCGAAACAACTGAATTCTTCTAGGGCTTTTCTGACTTGGGATTTCACTGAACCCCACTCAAGAGAGCCTGGTTTTAGGTTTGGCTTGGAAAAGTCTATGACTGGAAGTCGAAGAGGGGTTTCAGAGACCATTTCTACTTTCTTTGTTTGCAGAATAATAAGTTGTTTGTGTATTAATTGCTTCATCATTCAAGTACTTGAGCCCTTTTTATAGAGTTCCGATGAAATTTTTTATATGTAATGGGACAAATAAATGATCACAGTTGGTTCGATTTTTTAATCTATCAGGATTGAGTTGGTCTTTGTAACAATGAAGTTTCACAAATCGACTAGATCAAAATTCCTTATAAATCAAGAATTCCAGGGCCAAAAAGATGATTTTCATTAGAAATCAAAAGAATTTACTTTGTTTTATTCAGTCTGAATGTTTATAATAATATTAGACATCATTATGCTATGTATTATTGATTTGATAAATACGAACTCAATATTGAAAACCTCAAATAACTTAATCAATAAAAGATGTTTGCAACACTGCACGTATCGATTAGACGACAGAAACACTACATATGTGAAAACCTTGTGGGTATTCTTTCTCGGAAGTTGAAGGATAAGGATGTAGGTAGAAGTAATCTAGTGATATATGAACACCTATGGGAAGATTGATTTTGCTTGTCACTACAACAGGTGGTAAAGTCCAACTAGCACTCTGGAATGATTTAGGATACTTAGTAATACATATTTTCATTTTTTTTATAAGAAGATATGAAATTATAGTAGTAATTTAAATAGGATGAAGTTACATAAGTAGACCATCAAGGCATAATTGATAAGAGCTTGAAAATGCACATTTAGTTAGTGGTTTTTGGGGATTAATTGTGGGAAATTAGGCTTAATTTGGTAAAGTTGCTTAATATTTTTCATAATTGCCTTTTACAGGATCACGGGTGTTTTTGAGTATTTTTCAGGATACTAGGCTTAAATGGTATGCTCAGATGAAGAATCATGTTGGCAACGGAATGAGTGATGAGTGGAAACAAACGGATCAAGAATCGAAGTTAAATTGAAGAAGTTATGGAAGTTGAAGCAAAGAGAAGATTCTAGATTACATTTCAGCTTGCACAAGCTTTGGTATTTTGAGAATATCTTGAGCTGTAGAACTTGGATTAAGACGATTCTTAGACCGTTGGAAATTTGATTCAAAGGGCTACATTTCATATCTTTACAACTTTTCCAAATTCCGTTGTTATTGAGTTCAAAAATCAACATCTTTAAAGAATAGTGAAATGAAGAGGGAAAAGGGCAACAGCTACTGTGCCGCGGCACACTTTTTCCAATAGCTATTGTGCCGCAGCACAGTGTCGTGGCATAGTCACGGAAGTCACTAACTTGTTTTCCGTTTTTAGCTAGGAGAATAGGGTTAAGGGTTTTAAATCAAATAGAATTAAGGAAAAACAAACCCTAACCCTTGTGGGATATAAATAGAAGTCTTTTAGCATTAATTGGGGGATTCTTGGGTGAAAAGAAAGGAAGAAAAATCTGTAGTGAAGAGAAGTAACAGAAATTCTGGAGCTTTGATTCACAAATTAGAGAAGTTTTCCTTATTCTTTTCTTGTAAACTCATGATGTATGTTTTAATATATATGATTGTTTCTTTCATGTTTATTATGAACTAAATTTATTCTCTGGGGCTAAGATGTAGCCCAATCTCTTAATTATGTATTGATCTTTGATTGTTAATGTTTATTAAGAATTCTTCCTAAGTTTTACTATTTTTCCTAATGCTTTTGATTCTTAAGGGCCCAAGAATTGAATGAACTAATGGACTAAGTTGAGATCGAGAGATGATACTTAGTTGGTCTACGGTGTTAAAACCATAGGTTGAGCGAATGCTAGAGATAGGTTACCGCGACTTATGAGGTTTGGGTAAATTCCATAGAGCGTAATGATCCCCAATTGCTTAAATCTGATTAGAGATAATTCGGGTTAGTAATTAGGGGTTAATTTGATAATTGTTCGAGAGAAAGTTATTGAAAATTTAGGGAGTTTGACCTGTAGGAAGAGCTTAATCAAATTAGCATGAGAGATTGATACATGTGAACAAGAGTTGGTGTGAAGTCTCTGCCCTAGGTCTAGTCATCTTGTTTTTACCCAAAGGTTTATTTTAATTGTTCTCTTTTTAGTTTCAATTGTTAATTTTGTTTAATTTAGGTTTTTCTTGATACAATTTGGATTGATCAAATAGTAATAGGATAGTCTAATTGGTAATTAATAATAGTAATTCCCTTGGGTTCGATATCCGTATTTATACACTTTATTACTTGCATGATTTCGTACACTTGCGAAAATCAACAACAAGTTTTTGGCGCCGTTGCCATGGAATTGCTTTTATATTATCAATATCAATACAAGCTATTTAGTTGCTAATTTGGTTTGTAATTTATTTTTTTTTGTTTTTTGTTTTTTGTTTTTAGTGCTTTAATTTTTATTTATGTATTTTTAGTGTTAGACCATACAGAGGAGTTAGTTTCAATGACAGATACAAGAGGAAAAGAAGTTCAAAAGGCACTTAAGGATTACTCAAGACCTACAATTGAGGGATGTGCTTCTAGTATTAGGAGACCACCGATTCAAGCAAATACCTTCGAGATAAAGCCAAACATTATTCAGATGATACAACATTCGATTCAATTCGCAGGGTTGTCTAACGATGATCCTAATTTGCATATCGCAAATTTTCTAGAGCTATGCGATACATTCCGACATAATGGGGTATCTGATGATGCAATTAGGTTAAGGCTTTTCCCATTCTCTCTTAGGGATAAAGCTAAGGCTTGGTTAATTTCTCTACCACCTGGAAGCATCACTACTTGGAATGAGTTAGTTCAAGTGTTCCTTGCAAAGTATTTTCCGCCGATCAAGTCTGCCAAGATGAGGAGTGACATCACAAATTTTTTCCAACAAGATATGGAGTCGCTTTATGAATCTTGGGAGAGATATAAGGATCTCTTACGGAGGTGTCCTCACCATGGGTTACCAATATGGTTGCAAGTGCAAACATTTTACAATGGGTTGATGCCAAATATACAAGCCATGGTAGATGCTGCAAGTGGGGGAGCCTTGAATAGTAAAACGCCGGAGAAAGCCTATAATCTGATTGAAGTGATGGCAAACAATAACTACATGAGGCCTTCAGAGAGAAATTCAACAAGGAAAGCAGTGGGAGTGCACGAAGTTGATAGCTACACTGCGTTGGTTGCTCAACTTTCAACCATCCAAAAGCAATTAGGAGTTGCCTTAAAGGTAAATGCTATTGAAACTCGTTCACTAACTTGTGAATTTTGTGCAGGGAACCATTTGTCAGGAGATTTTCAAGTAGGGAATCCATTTGCTCCACCTCAACAAGCAAATTATGTCAACAATTTTCAAAGAGGGCAAGGGAATCCATATTCCAATACATATAATCCAGCATGGAGGAAACACCTGAACTTTTCATAGAGCAACAACAATGAGCAAAAACAACCTCTTGTTTTTCAACCTCAAGAGCGAAAATCTAATTTATAGAATGTGTTGACCAAGTTCATTAAAGAGACAAGCAAGAGGTTTGAGAAGATTGACGTCCTGGTTCAAAATCAATCATCCTCTATTAGGAACCTTGAGACTCAAATTGGGCAAATCCACAATATTTTAGCAGGAAGAGTTCAAGGAATGTTTTCGAGTGATATCGAGAAGAATCCAAAGGAGTAACTCAATGCCATCATGTTGAGAGGTGGTAAGGAGCTGAAAGAATCAAGAAAAGCTGAAGAAACTGAGGAAAAAGCTGAAGACACGAAATTGGACAGAACCAACAATGCCTCAACACAATGCCTAGGCACAAAATCCAGAATGAAGAATGCCTCAACGCAATGCCTAGGCACAAAACCAGAACTTGAGAACAAAACCCAAGATGTGAAGAAAGATGAAGCCTCTCTTTCGTATCCTCATAGACTACAGAAACAAAGATTAGAAAAGCAATTTGGTAAGTTCATGGATATGTTTAGAAACTTACACATAAATATTCCTTTTGTAGATATGTTGGAGCAAATGCCGAAGTATGCCAAGTTCTTAAAGGAGATCCTTACACAAAAAGGAGGTTTGAAGACCATGAGATGGTCATGCTCACCGAGGAATGTGGCGCGTTACTTCAAAAGAAACTACCACTGAAATTAAGAGATCCAGGGAGTTTTAATATTCTTGCACAATTGGTAGTTTTTATTTTGATAAAGCTTTATGTGATTTAGGAGCCAGCATTAACTTGATACCATTTTCTATTTTCAGGAAACTTGGTTTAGGAAAGGTGAAGCCAACCACAATTCATCTTCAATTGGCAGATAGATCCATAACATATCCTAGGGGAGTGGTGGAGGATGTCCTAATAAAGGTAGATAAATTTTTCTTTCTAGTAGATTTTGTAGTTCTTGATATGGAAGAAAACCAGAACATACCTTTAATTTTAAGAAGGCCTTTTCTAGCCACAAGTAGGACTTTAATAGATGTACACCAAGGTAAACTAATCTTAAGGGTGGAAGACGAACAAGTGGAGTTCAATGTTTTTAACAAGATGAAATGTCCATCCGAGTTAGATACTTGCTTTGAGATTAGCATCCTTGATGACAAAGTAGCAGAAAACTTAGAAGAAAACTACCCTAGCTCACCCCTAGAAAATTGTTTAGTCAACTTTAGGATTATGGAGGTTGAATTTGAGAGGATAGATGAACAACAATTGAAGCCTTATGTGTATGGTGGATTGAAGGATAGAAGGGTTTGGATTTTCCTAGATGATCCAGATTGAAGGATTTGAAAAGTCGAGCTTACAACTCTAATAAAACGCTTCTTGGGAGGCAACCCAAGCTCTTTACTTTAATTTTGGTTTTTGTTTTGAATTTATTTTAGATTTTTGTTTAATGTGTTAAGTTGTGATAACTTTGGTTTGGTTTGATATGTCAGTTGTTTATGTTTCACCCATAATTTCTTTTATGCACACTAAATTGGCCAAGAAAGGCACATAGTTTGTTTTCTTTTGACTAGATTCCCGATGACTATTGGATACAACAAACAATATGCATGTCTTCACAAGATTATCTCCACATAAA